ACATGGTGATGTCTCTACATATATGGTTATAACTCTTCATACATGTTTAGGACTCTACCTACATTGTGAGGACTCTTCACGCATGGTGAGGACTCTACATACATGGTGTGAACTCTACATACATGATGAGAACTCTACATGCATGGTGAGGAATCTTCATGCATGTTAAGGTCTCTAAATACATGGCGACGACTCTACCTATATGGTGAAGACTCTACATACATTGTGAGGACTCTACATACATGATGACGACTCTACATACATGGTGTGAACTATGCATACCTGGTGAGGACTCTGTATACATGGTGAAGACTCTACATACATGGCGAAAACTCTTCTTACATGATGAGGACTCTACATACACAGTGAAGACTTTACATACATGGTGTAACCTCTGCATACATGGTGTGAACTCTGCATACATGGTGAGGAATCTTCATACATGGTGAGGTCTCTACATATATGGTGAGGACTCTACATACATGGTGAAGACTCTACATACATTGTGAGGACTCTACATACATGATGAGGAGTCTACAAACATAGTGAAGACTCTACATACATGGTGGAGACTCTACATACATGGTGATGACTCTATATACATGACGAAAACTCTACATACATGATGAGGACTCTACATACACAGTGAAGACTTTACATACATAGTTAAGACTTTACATACATAGTGAAGACGCTTCATACGTAGTAAAGACTCTATATACATGGTGATAACTTTACTTCATGGTGAGGACTCTACATAAATGGTGATGACTCTACAAACATAATCAAGACTGTACATAAATGGTGACGACTCTTCATTAATAGTGTTGACTCAACATACATTGCGAGGACTCTACATACATTGTGAGGACTCTACTACGTGATGAGGTCTCTACATAAATGGTGAGGACTCTACATACATGGTGAGGACTCTACATGAATGGTGAGGACTCTAAATACATGATGAGGACTCTACATACATGCTTACGACTCTACTACATACATGGTGTGGACTCTACATACATTGTGACGACTCTACATACAAGTCAACGACCCTACAAACATGGTGAGGACTCTACAGAGATGGTGAGGACTATACAGATACGGTAAAGACTCTACAAACATGGTGAAGACTCTACTTCATACATTTTGAGGACTCTACATGAATGGTAGGGACTCTACACAAATGGTGTGGACTCTACATACATTATGAGGACTTAACACATACGGAATCGACTCTACACACATGATGACATCTCTACATACACGGCGACTAATCTACATAAAAGCTGAGGACTCTACATACTTGGTAACAACTCTACATACATGATGATTGATGAGGACTCTACATACATGGTGACGACTCTACATACATGGTGATGACTTTATATACATGATTACGACTCTTCATACATGCTAACGACTCTTCATACATGCTGACGACTCTACATACATGACAACGACTCTACATCGTGATAACGATAACTTTAGCTGTAAGAATAAACGGTCATAACTTAACTTGTGAGAGAGGGTATGAGGGCTTGGCCACCGTTGGAGAATATGAATATATGATCAACCTGATGCGGGTGTTTATTTTGACGATGGAAAAGGGAAATAGAAGGTCGGGAGCCAAAACTATCAAGGAGTTTATGACGGTTTTTACAGCGACATTTCTCGTTATCTTGCTTATACATTTACCGGTTTCATTTTATTGATGCAGCTGATGTAACCATGCAAGAATGCAGAGACAGACAGTGCTATTAGAGATGGTCCCGGAAACATCCGGCTAGAATGAGGAACGAAGGGAGAAGCGGAATGTACCCATCCTGGACAGTGATACTTTTCTAACTTTTGATTTATTTAGAATGTACCGCGATTCAAAATTGTCTCAGCTGAGAAATAATATTTTGCTCTCAACTGACTAGTTCAAAGGAAAAAGAATTCAACAACTAAAACATTGTAACAGTGAAGTTACGTAGTTGATATTAAATATAGTGAATCGATTACTTCTTTACTTGATTCGACTGGCCCGTAATTTTGTGTAAGATCGACGAGGTAAACTGAAAATAAGAATTTTCATGGAGTTTAAATAGTCATGGTAAAAAAATAATGAATGAATGGGATCTACATTTTCGTGTTTTTGTTTTGTTTTGTTTTTTCAAAATGGTTTAGAAATGACCAATATCATATAGTCAACAGCAAGAAGGATTTTGTAAAAAGATATTTCATTAGATATAGCTATAATGATTTAAAGGGCTATTTAAAACTGATGATATACAACAAATGCAATTCAAAATGATAACAAGGACCAGTTTTAGGATTGGAATGGATAAAATTTTCGAAAAACTTTTCACTTTATTTCATTTAGGTAATTTTGAATTATGAATTTTGATTGTAAAAATGTTATCATGCATGGTCCTTTTGTAAATAAAGTGCCAAATGTTATGAGATAATGGTGCTGATTGTGTGTATTAAGGGCTATATAAAAGTACAGCACGTTGTAAAGTCGATCGTAACATGCGTAATGATTGATTTTATAAAGCCGTTGTGGCTGAGGGATTGCCTTTATTAGTTATCAGAATTGCAGCCACTAGTAACCCTGCGTGATCGTAAGAGGCGACTAAATGGATCCGAATAACTGGAATCTATGCATCTCTTAACTTCAGCAGATGAGGTGGTTTTGACCACCGGAGTTGTTTTAAGTTTGTAACAGCCGAGGTTAGGAAAAATTATCTTTCTCCTCTTGGCCATATATTAGCTTAATCAAACAAAACAAACAAAAACAGCAATACTAGATAGAAATAATTCTATTTTTTTTGTATTTCATCATTTTTTAATGCTTATAATGATAATAAAGCAGAAAGATAGATATTAACGAAGTTTGATTCACAAATATTTGAATAATTGACGTGTACAATTACAACCTTAAGACGATGGAAAGCAAAACAAAAAATAAAACCTAATCGATCGTCCCAAAAACATGATGTCAATACCATGCTAATAATTCTTTTCAAACATCGTAAAGACAGGACATACTCGTGAAAGACACAAAGTATTTTGTTCTTTAATAAACAGTTATTTTGTTCTTTAATATATAGTTATTTTGTTCTTTAATATATAGTTATTTGCATATGACACACCCTTTTCACATATCATGTATTTACATGTTTAAATAAGCCTTTGATTTGTATAATAAAGCGATAGTTTATTAACCCTTCTGAAAATAAGAAAACGATATTAAAGAAATATAATAGGATTAAATTGAAAAGCGATATTTTGTGCAAATCCTATAGTACAATTTGAGTTAGAAGTGTTTAAACGCTTTACACTATTAAGTCATTTTGCACTATGGAAGAAATATGATTATTCTTAGGAAGCGAAGCGAGCGAATGATCTGAATCACACAAGTTATTGGTGTAAACCTATATCAAATGGTATAAATGTCATGTTAAAAAGCCTCAACGAAGTCCATTTACCTGCTGAGCTTCTTATATAGTCGTGTCCAGTTTTCATATATGCAATAGTTCATTATCAATTTAGGGACATCAAGATGAAAATATAGTCAGTCAACAGTATAGATCGAGTCTTGTCAGATTGCACAGTTTTACAGGCTGGCCTGGCTTTATACTAGTGGCAAAGGTGTCTGGTTAAACAACAGGTTACAAGAAGAGTTTTATACAGTACATTTTTAACATGTATAGATCAGTCTACCCGTGCTGGTTGTTCAAATATCAAATAACATGTTTCAGTACATGTACAAACCACAAAGAAAGCAAACACAAAAATAAAAAGAAAGAATAGCAGTTCCTGTCAAACATTCAACATAGTGTGTGAGGAAAATAGTAATTAAAATATTTTAAATACTCGTAGATCGGATTTCTTAATTCAATAAATTAAATGTTAAACACAAAAAGTTTCTTTTCTTTAGTGTCAGTTCGTTTTCCGTTGACAGTAAAATTTGAGATTGATTCTAGGATCGGATTCAACAGAGGGTGCGTCTATCTGTTAGCTTGTTGCCTCTTACACAGTCGCGCTTAAAATTAATTCTTCATAAACTATGAAAGAATGAAATTCATATTTTATACTAACAACCATTTCAAATGAACTTTCATATAAAATGAAGATTATTGACAGTCTATGGATCACGCAACATTTTTTAACCATGTAAAGCCATAGAGGGTAATTTTCATCGTAATGAATTATTTATTAAAAAATCGTAAGTAATTCAAATAATATTCTATAGCGTGCTGATAATAATTATAAAAAAGTGATAGATATTTAAAATTTCAAGAACATATAAATACTACAAGAATATTTTTTTTTCAAATGGTACATGCGTACTATATAATTTAGAAACTCGTGAAGATGAGTAGACAAGTATTGTGTTTTTTTTAAAGATCCATTTTGAAAAGATGATTACAAACAACAATGAAGATGCCAATTCTGACTGCGTGACATGTCTCTGGTAGGTTGACCACTTGTGCACAGTCTGGAATAAAAGCTTAATTAACAGAACTATTTATTTCTTATTTCAAGATCTGATTACCAAAGATATAGTGGTTATATTTCATCACAAACATCAACGTGACGAAAAACAGAAAATGCGATTAGTAACCTTTACAACCTTTACCGTTCTTTTCGAAATATTTCTTTGCGAAAACATTAATTTCTAAGTTCCAAGATATAGAGTGACTTTTTTTGTTTACGACAAACTCATTGTTTTCCTTATTTATGTCTACTTGCTGTTAAGATATTACAATTTGTACGCGACTGATCGTTCATTGTTCTTTATAATTTACTTATGATTACTATGAAGATGAAAAAATATGTATTATCAATGCTTTTGTCGTCAATGATTATAGTAGTATGCATTTGTCCTAAAAACTCGTAGTTTAGCTGCTTTTATAACTAGTTAGATACATACGATCTAGAAAAGGTTACTCTCATGAACTGCTACACACGGTTATCAAACCTTACAATAAAACGAATTGAAATATTACCTGCAACATTAGAGGTCATTTCAGTGTACGTTGATTGGATTGTAGCTGTCTCAGTAGGAATTGTTACATTTGGAGTCATAACGGTTGTAGTACTTTTTGTTGCCATGGAAGTCGTTTGAGGGAGGTTGGTTGGAATGGGAGCTGCCTCAGTCGCAATTGTCACAGATGGAGACACAATAGTTGTGGTATTAGTTGTTGTTGTTGTCTTGGGTGTCGTTTGAGGGAGTGTTACTAAAATGAAAGCTGTCTCAGTAGGAATGTTCACAGTTTGAGACGCAGTAGTTGTAGTACTTGTTGTTACCATGGATGTAGTTTGAGGGAATGTGACTGGAATGGAAGCTGATTCAGTCGACGTTTTGGAAGTTAACATAGAAGAGGTTGTATCAATAGACAAAGTAGAAACCGCTTCAGTGGTCAAGGCTACAATTGCGACAAATATTATAGTCTCACTAAGGCGAGAACACATCTTGAACAACAAAAGCAAAGTACACGTAATGTATGTTACCACATAATGAAAGGTTCGTAAAATAGCATCAGGTTTTTTTTGTTTCTTTGGAAACTTTTGACGAAACGCTGAAACTTGAATAAACAACTCATTTCTATATTTGCTTATGTATTTCTTTTTGGAAAAAAAGAGAACTGTTAAGTACAAGTTTTTCGCCATTCTACCACCAAAAAGCTTTTCTATTGGTCTCTTTTTATTTGGGTTTACGTCACTTTAATCTTCTTTACTGTTTGAAGAAGGTCTCAGGAGTCCATCCGTGCATTATTTCAGACACAAGCGTTCACTATGGCAGAATCACCGACGTTCTGTAAGCTGTATGGACAAATGTCGTAGGTGAATGGCAAAAACTAGAACTATATATTATTCTTTTTTACTAGCAACCATAAAGTGACTCTTTATTTACAATAACATTACAATTAGTTGATCTCCTAATATTATTTCCGAAGAATAATGACATTGACAATGTTATCCAATTTGCCGTATAACTCAGCGTGTAATTTATAATTCTATAACTATAAAGCCTGTTGGTCGATGGAAATAGCATAGTAAAATTCAATGGACAACGTAAAGAATAAAGCAGGAATATAATCAAATTACAACATGCAATGTCACTGCTCTATTTGGTAGTGCAAATGCCATGTGAAAAATTTGAGTGCAGTTATAACAGCGCTAATAAACATGTACCACTATAAAGGCTACGAGTTCTGAGAAATGACGTTATTTATATCATTTTATATTTTTGAAATTTATTATTCTCATTGCTACACATAACGCCATACAAAATAATTATATTAAGCTGTAATAAAAAGAATTAAAATATTACCTTTAATTGTAGTTATCTCAGAGGGACTTTTAACAGTTGGAGTGAAAGTAGATGTGATACTTGTTGTTGTCTTGGATGTCGTTTGAGGGAGTGTGGTTGGAATTGATGTTATCGTAGAAGAGGAAGTATCAATAGCAAGAGTAGAAGTGGCTTCAGTGGTTACAACTATAATTGTATACAAATGTTATATTTTTACTAAGAGTAAACATCCCAAGAGACATGCAGCTTTTAAAACAAGTATTTAACGACATATCTGATTGCCTGTGAAGCTAAATATTCGTGAAAGATTCGTTAAACATTGATAATTAAATAAGCATTGGGATTCTTGAAGTCATTATAATTTGTTGATTAAGATAAACCAGTTGCTCATTTTAAGTATAGATAATGCTCTTCTTTCTACTTAAAACGAATTATATAGAGTAGACTTAAAAGACAATTTTAAATAAAAGCAAATTAAAACAAATCCCACTGAGGCCTACAATTATAATATTATATTTATATCTAGTTACATACATACGATCTAGAAAAGCTTATACTCTCATCAACTGCTACACACGGTTATCAAACCTTACGATAAAACGAATTGAAATATTACCTGCAACATTAGAAGTCATTTCAGTGTACGTTGATTGAATTGTAGCTGTCTCAGTAGGAATTGTTACATTTGGCGTCTTAGCGGTTGTGGTACTTTTTGTTGCTATGGAAGTCGTTTGAGGGAGGTTGGTTGGAATGGAAGCTGCCTCAGTCGGAATTGTCACAGATTGAGACACAATAGTTGTGGTATTAGTTGTTGCTGTTGTCTTGGATGTCGTTTGAGGGAGTGTTACTAAAATGAAAGCTGTCTCAGTAGGAATTTTCAAAGTTGGAGATACAGTAGTTGTAGTACTTGTTGTTACCATGGATGTAGTTTGTGGGAATGTGACTGGAAATGAAGCTGATTCAGTCGACTTTTTGGAAGATAACATAGAAGAGGTTGTATCAATAGACAAAGTAGAAACCGCTTCAGTGGTCAAAGCTAAAATTGCGACAAATGTTATAGTCTCACTAAGGCGAGAACACATCTTGAACAACAAAAGCAAAGAACACGAAATGTATGTAACCACATAATGAAAGGTTCGTAAAATAGCATTCAGGTTTTTGGTTTCTATGGAAACTTTTGACGAAACGCTGAAATTTGAATGAACAACTCAATTCTAAATGTGGTTATGTATATCTTTTTGGAAAAAGAGAACCTTTTAGTACAGGGTTTTTGCCATTCTACCACCAAAAACCTTTTCTATTGGTCTTATTTTATTTGGGTCTACGTTCCTTTTACCTTGTTTACTGTTTGAAGAAGGTCTCAGGAGTCCATCCGTGTATTATTTCAGACACAATCGTTCACCATTGTAGAATCACCGACGTTCTGTAAGCTGTATGGACAAATATCGCAGGCGAATGGCAAAAACTACAGCTACATGTTATTCTTTTTACTAGCAACCATAGTGTGACTATTTACAATAACATTACAATAAGTTGATCTCCTTGTTATTATTTCCGAAAATTTATGACAATGCTGTCCGATTTGCCATATAATTCAGCGTGTAATTTATAATTCTATAATTATTTAGCTTCTCGGTCGATGGAAATAGCTTAGTAAAATTCAATGGACAACGTAAAGAATTAAAAAGCAATATAATTAAATTACAACATGTAATGTCACTGCTCTATTTGTTAGTGCAAATGCCATGTGAAAAAATTGACTGAAGTTATAACAGCGCTAATAAACATGAACCACGAAAAAAAGGCTACGAGTTCTGAGAATTGACTTTATTTATATCAATTTATATTTTAAAAATTTATTATTCTCATTGCTACACATAACGCCATACAAAATAATCATATTAAGCTGTGACAAAAAGAATTACAATATTACCTCCAATATTAGAATTCATTTTAGTCGATGTCTTCTGCATTGTATATGCCTCATAAGTATTATTTTCAGAGGAAGTCATAGTAGATGTGGTACTTGTTGTTGCCGTGTAGGACGTTTCAAGACTTTTGTTTGGAATGGTAGTTGCCTCAGAAGCACTTGTTTCAGTTGGAGTGAAAGTAGATGTGATACTCGTTGTTGCCTTGGATGTCGTTTGAGGGAGTGTGGTTGGAATTGATGTTATCGTAGAAGATGAAGTATCAATAGCAAGAGTAGAAGGGGCTTCAGTGGTTACAACTTTAACTGTACACAAATGTAATATTTTTACTAAGGGTAAACATCCCAAGAGACATACAGCTTTTAAAACAAGTATTTAATTAACGACAACTCTGATTACCTATGAAGCTAAATTCTCGTTAAAGATTCGTTAAACAGTAAACATTAAATAGGCATTAGGATTCTTGAAGTCATTATAATTTGTTGATAAAAATAAACCAGTTGCTTATTTTAAGGATAGGTTATGTCCTTCTTTCTACTTAAAATGAATTATATAGAGAAGACTTAAAAGACAAATACAGAATAAGTGGTTTTTTCTGCGTTATTTTTCCCCAAATATTGGCAAGTTTTTATTCCTGCGGACTTTATTTCTGCGGCACATTCTTTGGACAAAACGTGATTTAATTTCTGCGACTCTTCTCATCAATGTCTTAGTCACATAACTGTATTTTATTTGCATGTACACATTCGCATTTGTTTATCGTCGTCACCACAAAAGTGTACAGTAATTACAAATAATTATATTGTTTGCTTGCAAACAAAAATATAATGCGCAACAATAGAAAGGTATGCATCTTTTGATCAGCGTGCAATGACGTGTGAAAGATATACCCGGTAGAATCTTTAATTTAATACCATAAATCAGATTAAAGTATACGACGATTATTTAGCAGTATAAGGGTTGAAATGGTTTGAATTATTTAGTGATAAAGAAACCTTTAGCGTATCGGCAAACACTATATATGCTGTTTAAATATCTTTATTCTTAAGTTAGCATAATTAACAATAAGTACATCCTTACAAACAAACACAGAATACATACTTAGCAGACAGCAGTTTCATTCGACTTGAAATCCCGCTAACCTTTTTAATCCGCTAGTCGTTATCACTTTAGATGAAACAAGTCATTATGCATTACACATATAGTACCAGGTTAAAAAACAAAAAACATGGAAAAATGTTCTGCGGTTCTTATTTCTGCGGTGCAGAAAACGCAGAAATTAAGTCATCGCAAAAACCACATATGAGGTACAAATAAAAGCAAACAAACCCCACTAAGGCCTACAATTATAACATTATATACAGCTAAAATTCAAAATATAAATAGAATTTCATTATAGAAAATAAGAAGATAATCTTAATTAGAAGTATACGGAATAATAGTACGTGTACACGTATATTGATAAATACGTAAAACGTAATATCATGTATTTATCAAGCCAACTTACTGTCCGGGTAAACTACTTTGAAAGTTTGCGGAATGGCCTGTATTTGAATCACAAAGAAGCCTGCATTAATTGGAAAAGATTGATCAGAGTTCACAAACGCCTCTGCTGCTAGAAGTAATGCGTCAATATTTTCTGTCGCTGGATCTATTTCAATAGTTGTACCTATGTTTCCTGTATTTAACGAACAGAAATCAAAATACATGTAAGTTTACTTCTATGTTATTTATTTCGATCATTTTTATATGTCTCTAATTATGAAAAAACTATTTTCATTTTTTTTACTGCAAAGTTAATTATATAAAATTATTATAGAATGTACGAAATTGTTTTGGCTTTATAAAATAAGTAAGTGAATAAAATTGCAATTGGTTTTAGATTTGTCACTATTTAACGCAATTGCAAACAATAAAAATACGCTATCAACAAACATATTCTTACTAATATGTACAAACTGTATTTACCGATCAAAATTCATACACCATTCTAATTCAGAAAACATTTTTGATTTATTACCGTCAACTTCATGAATAGACACATCTTTGATATCCTCATCCTTAAGACCAGGAACAAAATTTGGCATCTCATTTCGAATTGTGCTTGCCAAAAGGTCCTCCCCAACAAATGACACATATGAATACGGTTGGTTCACTGCAAAACTTACTATTACAGAAATAGAAAAGTAGAGCATAGCGTTATGAGGATATATTACATGTTATTTGGGTTTTAGAGTGATATATATGTGGATATATTACCTGCCAAGATTATATATCACCCGAGCCGTTAGAACAAAATAAGTTAACAACTATCGATATATTGCTTGAGATACCTTATTCTTTGACCTATACATTAAACATATTTTATTAATGTTAAGTGCATAATATAACATGTATAATTGTACATACATAAAGATACATTATCATACACACTCCTGAATACATAAAAACACAAATGCGTTTAAAGTATTCAAGGTTGGACCAAAAGTTATCTATTTTTATCGAACCCTTGAAGCTAAAACTGATAAAAGCTGTTGGCGGCATTCCATCCAAATAGATTTTATAAGTAAGCGTGATACATAAAAATGTACATAAATATTCTACACTTCTTTTGAAACTATAATTAAGTAATGAAAGTTGTTTATGTTATTATAGCAAACGTCGTTTCCATACAATTTTCGCATAAGCATGAAACATCAATGTTGCGCATGGATGAGACATTACCAAACATGAGTAAAAAAGAGTACTAATTATGAGTTTTAATCAGAGTAAGAAGGATTTAATTATGCTATTTCTAACTAATAAAAAGTTTAAGTCCATGTTTAGTAAGGTAAGGTAAGTAAGTAGGTATGTAGGTATGTATGTAGGTAGGTAGATAAGTAAGTGAGTAACTTTAAATTTTAAGAAACGTTATTTGTGTTTTACAATGGAATATTATTACAAAAAATGTATTATTATTATTTTATTTTATGCTTTTCAGTGGATTACTGATTTATCCGTGAAAATTATATTTGATAATTTCACAGTGAAAATTATCAAAATATAATTTCACTTTTTTCAATGACGGAACTACTTTTTTAAGATTTTCCCCATGTGGTACCTCAATTTTATTTTTACTGACAATTCTGACAATATCAGGCTGTTAAAAAAATAGCTAAGCTGAAATAGATAAATAACTTAAATGTCAAAAGTAATAAAGAGAGCAAAACTTACTTCTATTCCTTCAAATTCCAATCACAAAATTTCGTCTCTAAATTTTTTTGTTTCGTTTTTACAGTCTGAAAAATACATTCCTTCCCCATGCTAAACTGCTCTTAATGACATTTGGGCATATTAAAGTATCCTACGAGCAATAACTGCCGTATGCTTTATGAAAAATTGAAAAGCATTGACAGCCATCACTCGTAAAATAAGTAAAACAACCCAGCGTCAAGCTTCCAAGTTTTCCATTTTCCTAGCTCCTTTTCTGAATGTTTTCACTTCTGTCAACACTTATTTTTTGTCTGTTACATTCCTCAAATAAGTTTTCTTTCTTTTAAAAAGGTGTATGACTAACAAATCCAAATTATATCCTTCTGAATCTTACACAATTATTTTCCTCCCATGAAATACACAAATTTAAAAAATGGCTGCCGCTTACATTTTACAAAGCCAGGTCTAATATAAATTCGCAGTAAGTAACAGAAATATGGATGCATGGTTGGACTTTTTCTCCTACAAGAATTGTTTGTTTTTATTGTTAAAACAAGCGATCATTCATATTTTTTTAATAAAATGAATAAATATCACCGTCATTTAACCTTGATTGGCGGACTTATTTTTCAGCTCAAGACTTCTTGTTTTTAATGAGAAATTCCCTCTAAATGGGGCTCACAATGGGGAAAACAGATTTTAATATTAACGTTAAAATTTCGAAAAATTTCGTTTTAACATGTTTTAAAGCATAAAATAAAAAGAAAATTTGTCTGTTTGTTGTGTAAGATGTAATTTTATTTCATGTCGTGAACTTTAAAAACAGTATTCTCACTCGTGGCTACGCCACTCGTGAGAATACTGTTTTTAAAGCCCACTCGATGAAATAAAATTTCATCTTACACACAAACAAACAAATATCCTCTATATTATTATTATTATTATTATTATTATTATTATTATTATTATTATTATTGTGTATCTTCTTATAAAATTAGTTTTTATAGAATGTTAAGATTTGGCACCGGGACGCTTTCGTAGTTATTTTTGGTTGACTTTTAGTGAGCTAGATTAGCAATATTGAATTTTACAATCGCAACTTTTAGGCCCTTTCCGTCAGTCTTCGAATAAAGACCGCGAACACAATAATATGAATACACAGAACGGATGCGGTATTTTGGTCTAACCTACGCTGAGAAACTAAACATGTAACAAATGGTTATTAAATGTTGGGAGTTGTTCCAATATATGTAGTAAAAATCAACATAAAATAAGTGAATTCATAGGTACAAAAGCAAACAATGCAATATTTATATATTTATTATTATGGTTGTAGAAACCGAAAGTACAGAAAACCAACCTGGTGACATTCAGTCGGATTTGTTTAAAATTGAACATCAGTGGGCATATTTAAATAACAAATTGTTTTCAGACATATTTTCAATCATAGGAGTACCGAAACAGACATTACTTTTCTTTTAGATGTCAAATATATATATTCGTTTTACATTATCCCTGTTTCTGTTTACATCTGAAACCACGTGGTAGAACAACTTTCAATCCGTATTGTTTCCGAGGTTTTTATAAATAATAGACGAGGAAGTTCCGATTGCATATTTTGTAATTTGATATTCACTAAAAACAAACAATTTCTACCCTAAATGGTCATTTACCCGTTTTTCTATTTTGACCCCAGTTATAATACTTATAAAACATGTATATATGTCAAATAATTTGTAAATGAAAAATCAACATATGGTATTTGAAAGGAATATTTGTCAAATCAGCCAGATAATGTTCAGTGTAATTTATATTGACTCATTATAAAAAAGTGTTTGTTGTTTTTGATGGTGTTGTTTTTTATATGTTCTTTTTCTTTCTAAATTCTTTTCAGAAGGCCAGTTTAAATTTTAAGATACGTAATTCGTGCTTTACGATTGAATATCTTCATGTTTTATTGTTATTATTATTACAAAAATGTATTATTATTATTATTATTGTTGTTGTTGTTGTTGTTATTGGGTAACTTCTTATAAAATTAGTTTTTTTAGAATATTAAGATTTGGAACCGGGACGATTTCGTTGCTATTTTTTGTTTGTTGATTTTTAGTGAGCTAGATAAGCAATATTGTATTTTATACTCACTAAATACAAACAATTACTGTCCCAAATGGTTTATGCTGAAACTAGATACGCCAGTTATTATTTATTTTAGGTCTCGATGCGGTCAAATGCATATTTTATTTTTCAACACAATGGTCTTATCCAGGTGAATGTTTTGTTCCTGTGTGTGCAGACATTACACATATTAAATCTACCTGCTCATAGATCTAGATGAAGCAATAAATTTCATCAACTGACTTTTTATAGCGCTGTTTTAATTTCAGACTTGCTAAAACCTTGCTTCTTTCGTTAATTCTATTAAGGACGAAGATGTTTTGTTGAAGTTTATGAAGCTATCTACATTTTCTGTCTGTAGATTGTAACATTATTGTTTATATTGTGTAAAAATGATATGATACAGTCTAAGAATATCTATGATAAATAAAATTCAGTATATTTTAATAAAACCGAGTGGGACATGCGAGAAATCTTTCCCAGACCAACAAAAATAGCAGCGGAACAATTTTTTCCTTTTTATGTACATTATTCATGCATATAAGTAAATGAACATTCTATGTTACAAACCTTTCAAGAAACGATCATTACGTAATGAAGAAAACATAATCTTAGAATTATTTATTTAATAAATGTTTAACCACATATAACTTTATACACTTTATACATTAAAAGAATCAACAAACTATTACCTTCATAATTCTCACCACCAAACGCTTTACCTGAAAAAAGTAATGCTTTTTTGAGAATATATATTTTATCTAAGCATCACCAAAACATCTTTTCGTGTTATTTCAATTTGCGTGTTTTCTTTTCAAGATTGCTAAAATGAATTAAATACTAGCTTATAATGAAAACAAGACATTTCAGACATATATTTACTTGTAAATTTTTACGGTCTATGTAGATCTACTATTTTACCAAAAAACCTGCATAAAATTGGCCAAATACGCATCTCTCCTTATACAAAATTTGCATAAAATTGGCAAATTACGCATCTCTCCTTTTACAATATATAGAAAGTGTCTTTCAAATGACACGGAATTACTTATCAGTCGACAGGCATAATTATTTATGACACAAGACATAAGCAAATTATTCATTAGCAAATGGTGCATGTACTGCAAGAGATATAACAAATTCTAAACTTTTCTATACAAGATATCAGGGCTGGGAATCAAAACTGCGTCGTATCATACAAAATGTAAACAAACGCCGCCATCTTGAAACGAAAAACGTATGTTTTTGCTTATAACTTTTTTTGTTGGAAATGACTGAAAACCAGATATATGTATTAACACGCTACAATATTTTCCGCTTCGTTCGGTATATGTTGCTTGCACAACTATTTTGTAACACAAAAGTTATAGCGAACTTGCATCTCGAAGCGGGGCAGAATTTTTATGAAAATGTGTGGATACGACGCAGTTCATATTGCTTTATCTATCGTTTTTTCCTTCAAATCAATTATGTATTTGTTTCACAGTTCACCATAAACTTTGAAATATAATTTTGCATCATTTACTAAAATTTCATTAAAAAGAGATGCTTATTTTCTTAGAAAATAATGATTTTCACGAAATGATACGACGCAGTTGAAAATAAAATATTATACGACGCAGTTGTATTTTTGGCAGTCTTTTCAACAGGGATAATTTTGGCAAAATATTTCTATTTTATGGAAGAATCACTTGCGCTAGATAAAAAAAACCCAGATTGTTTGCGGTGTATAGCAATGTTCTGTTGCTTTTGATTTTATTTGTCCAATACATTAATTTGAAATACATATTGATCATAATTCTGAAAATAATCTTATATTTCATTATGTTCAATAAAATCTATTTTTCGCTAAA